GTGCAAATATCCTTGAACTGATATATATATATATATATATATATATCAATCTCTTCTCCCTTCAGCTATGGGTAAATAGCAGGGCATCCAAAGAGTGAAAAAGATATGGATATATTCTAAGGAGCTTTCATTTCTGATATCATCTTTTTTTTTACTAAATTTAATCCTGACTAAATGACAGCAAACGAGCTTCCAAGGAGAAACGAATTCTATTACAAATTGTTTAGTCAGAAACGTTAATCATCACACCCCAATAGTCGACTTACTTTTCCTGCTTATGATGGTAGTAAGTAAAAGTACATTTGAAATTCGCAAACTTTCTCTTTGCGTAAAAGTGTTATTGTTTTCTAATTACTATCTTTATCGATAATATTGATCTCACAAACATGATCAGAATTATATCACCAAAAATAATTTTTGATTCGTTTTTAAAGAACAAATACTTAATGAACAATAACCTACTTTCTTAGTCAATTGTTAAACAATTTGCGAAGTTTTAAAAAGAAAATGGATAATTGAATTACTACTGATTAGAAGTGAATTTTACAGACACAAGATAAATCCTTTCAGGTTTACAATTTTCATGCCTTGAAAGTATCTAGTTCAACTTGATAAATAAATATAGATAAAAATCATAGAATATTTCATGCTTTTTCTTTCACTTCAAGATATTTAAATAGGTTCTCTGCTAGGCATGAAGGAAATAAAGGTTATCAAATTTCGGGAAGTGGATCGAGCCGAGAGCTTTCATGCAATATACAGTAGCGTCCAAAACTAAGGGACAAAATTTTAAAACCTAATATTTGTTAGAAATAACAACTGTGAAAAGCTGAAATTTTGACAACTGGTAGTCGTTATCATCCATAATAACATACTAAAATCTGAATCATTTGCAAAGGATAGAAAAAGAATTATAACAATTATTTATTTATTTTCAAAATAGGATCGTCCAAAAGTAAGGGACAAAATTGAGAAAAACAATGTAAACAGTATGCTATATTCAAATTTTTTGATTTCCTCTAAAGAATAAGTCTTACTTAGTCATTTGTAAACGTTGCATCAGCCGGCATCATGGCGAAACGCCAAGAACTTGATTACTCTGTGAGACAAGCTATTGTGAAGCTACACAAGGAAAAGCACACCATTAGAGAGATTTCAGAGAAAGTGAAACGTTCCAAGAGTGTTGTAGGCAGGGTTGTTAAATCCTACAATGATACTGGCAAAATAGTTAGTGCTTTTAAAACCGGCAGATCCCGCAAAACTTCGGCAAAAGAAGATCGAATAATGCAGCGTATGTCATTAAAGGACCGTTTTAAGTCTTGCACAGAAATTAAAAGGGTTATGAATAGTACCTCATGTGTTAATGTGTCAATACAGACTGTTTGTAGACGACTGCAAGAAATAGGGCTGTTTAATCGAACCCCAGGGAAGAAACCACTTGTTAGTTCGAAGAATAAGAAGAGATTAGAGTTTGCAAACAGGTATGTAATTTGGACATATGAAAATTGGCAAAAGTGATGAAAGCAAGTTTAATTTATTTGGAAATGATGGAAAAAAAAATGTAAAGAGACGTATTGGTGAAAGATTAAGTGCAAAGTGTACTAAGAAAACTGTCAAGTTTGGGGGCGGAAGCGTCATGGTATTTGGAATGTTTTTTAGCCAACGTACAACCCGCAGATCTATAAAAACATTGTTCAAGATCATGTTGTACCAATCATACAGAATTCAGGTTTCGATAGGGCTACCTTTATGCAAGATAATGCCCCATGTCACAAGGCAAAGGGGGTAATGAGTTACCTTAGCGAGCAAGATTTGGAAATTATGGATTGGCCACCGCAAAGTCCTGACTTAAATCCAATAGAAAATCTTTGGAAGACCTTAGGAGTGAAAGTTATGGAAAGAAATCCCACTAACACGGAGGATTTGTGGGTGAAGCTTCAAGAAGAATGGTCTAAAATTAGTATCGAGAATTGTCAAGAACTGATTCGTTCTTGTAGTCGAAGATGTGCAGCTGTCATTGAGAGCAAGGGCTCATTTACTAAATATTGATTGTACATGTATTTTTATTGATTTTTGCCGTTTACATTGTTTTTCTCAATTTTGTCCCTTACTTTTGGACGTTCCAAATTTGAAAATAAATAAATAATTGTTATAATTCTTTTTCTATCCTTTGCAAATGATCCAAATTATAGTATGTTATTATGGATGATAACGACTACCAGTTGTCAAAATTTTAGCTTTTCACAGTTGTTATTTCTAACAAATATTAGGTTTTAAAATTTTGTCCCTTAGTTTTGGACGCTACTGTATGTGTGCATATATAATATACAAATTTTATGCCTAACCAAATCTGAGTTAAAACATAATAACATAGTAGGAATAGCAAGTTATAATAGTCGCAAATCACAAATAAGACTCAAATACTGCACAAAATTTTAAAGGAAAAAACATTTATGACACAATTACGAAAAAGATACAAATACAAACTTTGCACAAAAATTTCCTTTTGTGCATCTATTAAAGAAGTGTAACAATTTCTGATAAATAGATTACCATCGAAAAATGGAAAAAAATTACAATTTGGGAAAGGACAAAAAAATAAAATGAGTCAACAAAAGGAAGCAGTAGTAAAATAAAAGGGGCAACCGCTTTTGAGATAAAAACAACAACAAAAAAAACTACTTTTACTTTCTCCACGAGCGTCTCTGGGACATATATTCATTTTTGAAAAGTCCCTTTTAAAATCACACTGTTCTTGCTTGGGAAAATTTCTTTAAATTCTTTTTCGTTCTTTGCTGCCCAACCACAGGAGAATTTTCACTTGAACTTCAAAATTCTTTAGTCTCTCTGCAGCTGGCTGGTAACATTGTGTCTTTTTGATGTCAAATGCCTTCTGCTCAATGATGTTGATTTACTTTGTACCCCTTGCTGTCAAAAAGTCTTCTCTCCTTGCATCTAATCACCTGAGCTCTATATATTGGGAACATTACAGCCGCATGCCAGAGTGAAAGCCTATAGCTGGCTGCCACGAATAGGCAGGAAGATTCTATTGGACAGCGTGAGAGGCAACAACTTACTGACACGAATGTTAACTAGCATGCAAAAAAAAAAAAATCGATAGCTGCATTCGTCACAAGTGGGAAAATTTAAATCTGCATGGCACTTTACTCCAATTGGCTCATTCGCTTGCTTAAACTGAACGTTGGTTCTGATTCCGCAGAACTGGGTTGCTTGTGAAAAAGTATTTGTTGTTAACATTCTTTTTTCATTCGGTTTTTCCAGTTACGAGTCCTTTTTTAAAGCTGATCGTTTTGTGTTCATTTTGTTTAGTTCTTTTTTCGTAACAGATTTAATGTTTAGTATAGAGCTTAGAAAAAATTCGCAGTGTGAGATAGGCGAGAAGTAAGGAATGTAGCAACATCAGCACGGCAAAGGGCACTTCCTTAAAGGCAAGGAAGGGCAAAAATATTTTAAGTCAAGTGATAGCGATTGCTGTATGAGTCGTACGATTTTTGAATCAAGCACAGGCAATGCCAGGCCATACTGGGCAATGCTGCTTGTATATATATATATATATATATATATATATATATATATATATATATATATATATATATATATATTCTCTTATATATATAATAGTAAAGAAAGATTATCACACACACACACACATATACATATATATATATATATATATATATATATATATATATGTGTGTGTGTGTGTGTGTGTGTGTGTGTAAAGTGAGTTTAGTCTTACACCAATATATTTATTTCCATTAAAGTTAATGTATACGGAGAATGTGACTTAACCTTGCTTTATTCATCGGAACCATGACCTACGTATAGACGACATCTTAAAAATCTTGAGTGTTTCTGTCAAAACTGCCTTAGTAGGATATCCAATGTCAAATTCAGACTCATAAATACCAGACCGCAGAGTATCTGGATCAACTAGCATAGAATATATATATTAATGAGAAATCAATTACTCTGTGTTGGCCATATGGCACGAATAGATGACAATAGGCTATCAGAGAAAATCTTCTATAGAGAGTTCCTCTATGCAATGGCTTCCAAACGATGTTGCGAACCTCATAGGTACGGCGGAAGGAGATAGCAGACAAATCGAAATGATTGTAAGACAGTCAAAGTTTTACAAACCGTTTTAAAAATTCATATGCCAAAAATAAATATGATTTCAAAATTTAAAATATTATTATGAATTACTTGTAATTGCATGCATTATTTCCAGTATAAATAATTATTGCCCGAATTTATCATTGTGATATTTTTGCATTATATCATGTATTAAGAATATAGTAACTAGAATCCGTAAATTGCTGAAGTGTCTAATCAATGATAACCTTCTGACTTTGAATCCACGATTACCTCCCTTTATCCCTCTCTCTGTTTTCCTTTATCATTTTTAAATGTATTTTGTATCATATTCAATGAGGTTAGGCGAGAGCAAATTTTCGTTCTAAAAATGCGGCCCAGAGGAAAAAGTTCCGGAACCTCTAGTCTGCTGTAAGTGTCTGCCTAATGAATCGAAAGGCGAAATAAAAACTACATACAACATAACATTGATTTATTTGAACAAAATTCTGCAGATTTCCGTTATTTATATTCAAACAGATCAAAGCGCCGACATCTTGTCCACGATGAAATCGAATATTTTCAACAATCTCAGACGAAGCACCGGAAGGGACGTCAGTAAAATGACGAACACATCTGACCCGGAATTTGCTCCAAGATACAGCGTGTTATTTTCAGAGAAGATTTTGTAAAATCAAAGGAAGTACCATAGTCAAAACGGACAAATGAAATTCACTGAAATTAACCAGTAGCTAAAGCCAGCATGCTCCCCATGTGCACATATCTCATTTGCCTACATGTTGTCAAAAGAGATGCAGATCTCGGAAGCCATTACAGACCTTTTAAAAGAGACAAATAACGGTTAATTTCTTCATTGCTCACATCTTTAGTCCAAAGTATTACAGCCACATCACGTTGAAACACCGATTCTCGTACGATCACCAAAGTTAAGCAATATCGAGCCTAGTGAGTACATAGATGGGTGACTGCAGAAGAATACCAGGTGCTGTAGGCAATGATGTTGGGGTGGTGTAATGCATAATGGCTCAGAACTGTTAATTCCGGTTTGATACCTTATATTCACTTACCCTAGGGAAAGGTGTAAATCTAACTCTTCCTCCCAGCTGTGGGTTAAATAGTATAAGTAAAACCATTATTATTTTAAAAAATTGCGTACAAAATATTTAGATTTCGGAATTAAATGACCTGCAGAGGTTATGTTACTGAACAAAAACAACTAACAACCAACAAACATCTCAATTGTCACGAGTTCCCGCCTTATCTTTGACAAAATTTTTCATCATTCAATGTCAGATAGGAGGATTCATACTGCATAACAGTTGGATACTTTTGCTTTTTTTAAAAGAAATTTTTATGTTTCCTGTTCCAGAATATTTGCCAAAATTTAGTTAAACAACTTTGAAAGCGATTCAAGAGTGCATAAAATACTTCTTGTTAATTAAAACGAAGATACTGCAAATAAATTGCAAGCCTTCCATAAAAATGCTGGTGATTAAATGTTAGTCCATTTGAATACAACATAGAATTGCAATCGGGTAAAAAAAAAATGTACCGTCGTCACTGTAGTAACATGTACGGCGAAAGGGTTATTGAGACAACCCAGGATAAAATAAACGTGCGTTTGTTAAGTAACTTTTCTTCATCATCATTCTTAGTCCATTTTTTGCTATTCATTTACGCAAGCTTGTTAGGGAGATTACTCGCTGTTTCCCTAAGAAATTCTTTAGTATGTCCTGTGAGTATCAAATTCCTAAGATCTCTTTCTTAATTATGTGCCATAAAAACTTCATCTCTCTCTTTCTCTTTCTCTCTCTGATTCTAAGCATAAGTTACCATTTTGTTTCCATTTTCCTTAACACATTCTTGTTGCTAACATTTCAGTCCATGATTTTCACAGCATCCTTCTGAAGAACCATGTCTCCGTTTGTTTGTTCCACATCTGCGAGGCGATTGATCAACATTAACTCTCAATTAGAACTTATATTACATTGCAGTTCAGCACCCTTTTCTGTTTCTAACGAAAATTTCCCGTTTTCTTAATACTTTTCTTAGCTTTTGCAATTCTTCTTTTGCTATAGTGACGCGTCATCGGATTTCGGAGTCACAATTTCTGTCCTCCGATTGAACGCTTTCCAGATATTTAAATTTTCCTACCCCAATTCTTATTTTGCATTTTATGATAGTGTTATTATCGAGAACAATTCAAACTTCTTACAATCCATGTTTTGTCCTTTCTTTCATTTCGCTTTACGACATTTGTCTTGGAGTTCCTGAAATTTCATTTTTGTGCCTACTATCAACACTGCATATCTTACGTTGCTATATTGTATCCGTCAATATCAATTCCTGGTAGAACTTCCAGCTTTTGAATAAATTTTGTGAGAAGACAAAACCTTGTCTTACACCCCTACTCAAATATAAAGAAGTTTTCTTTTTCTTTTTTTTATAGACATTGCCTATTTGCTCCAAGCCATAACTTATATTTAACTTAAGTAAGAATAAAAAAATTTATAACCATGATACTGGGACAAATAAAGTGATCACAGCTCGTGGGAATAGCATGTCACAGAAAAAATATATTTATAAATGGAATTCACTAGAAACAGAGATTAGACAACAGGAACCAAAAAAAAAAATAAAATAAAATAAAATAAAATGCAAAAAGAAAAAGGTTCTTGCAAATTAGATACAAGCAAAGCAGCAAAATTAAGTAAATATTAATATTTTTTTCATTCGCCGTTTTGGTAAGTAAACAAGAACCATTAAAAGACTGACTGAACAATAAAATAAAATTGAAGACATCTGAACCAATGCTTATTTTGTTGGCAAAATATTTGTTATCGATAAAGGAAATTAAAAGTATTAACTTTATTGTCAGTACAAGAGATGTGCGGCGCAAAATGTTATTTACTCTTAATGAACAAGAAAAAAATAACATTAATGACTCTGGTTTTGTGAAATTAGTAGTAGGCATCCATCGGCCAGGGTTCACCATGGGTAGCATCCAAGTTGTCTGCTTGACTGGAACATCGACGTCTGTGACTGTAGAGGCCGATGCGGGAGTGACAATCTCTGTTGCAGAGGTCGCATGTGTGGTCTGTTGAAGCTGTCACATTCCTTCCTGCGGGCCCGCCTTTCCGTGGTGACTTGTGTCAACTTGTGTCTTACTTGAGGTATTTGGTCAGGATTCCTCTCCATTTGGATCGTATGGCTGCCAGGCTGTCCCAGGAGTCTGTGTCGATGTCCACAGCTTTCATGTCGCGCCTCACGACACTGCGGTATTGCAGCTGTGGCCGCCAGGCGGATCTCCTTCCAGAGAGCAGTTCTCAATGCAGGAGGTCTTTAGGGATGCGGCCGTCGGGCATATGGTGGACGTGGCCTAACCAACAGAGTCTGCGATGTCTGTGAAATCACTTTAAGTAATACACACGTTGCAAGTGGATGAAAACAGATGCAAACTTGCAGGATTTAAATTACATTATATGAGATAATGATAATGAGATAATATCATTTTATTAATACAATTATGCGATTAGCAAAAAACAAAATCAAATTTATGAAAATAATTAATTTAATAATTTCGATAGTTGCAATATAGTTAATGGCCACACCTTGTGATATTTGTTTTTACTTAATGAGAGGCTGCTGATTTGTTACTTCAAAATAATAAGCGAACGTATTTCTCATTATTATTTGGCCACTTCGATGTAGTTTAATGGTTAGCAAGGTTTGTCTTGCTAGATCAATTACGACTGAGTAGTAAGTCTGGTCCCCACGGGGTCCTCCACACTTTTGGCTATATCAAATCTACGCTTAGAAAACCATTTTGGACACTTTGACGTCGTGTAATGATTAGCAAGCTTGTCTTGCTCGATTAATTACGACTGAATAGTTAGTTCGATCGTCAATGGGTTTTCATATTTTCGCCTTTGTCCCACATCTAAGCTACGCTTAGAAAATCACCATATTTCTCATTATTCTCATAACGGAATATCTCATTTGTACTTGGGTGATCAGGTTGTTAATACATTTTCTTTTGTTTCATGTTAGCTTTATTAGATAATTTGGGTTTTAATTAAATCTGTATTATTTTTACATACATCAATAGACAATTATATTGATAAAGATTACGTATACATAAAAGATATATTTATGAACATACACGAGGATGCAGGATGAGTCAAAATTAGCACCCAGATTCTGTGACATTCTTAACAATGGCGGACTGGGTCTAAAAATATTGTTTGCCAGTACAAATCTCTATTTAATTTTCGTGACTAATAAATAAAATTAAAAAAATACATATAGTAAAAAGAGTAAAATTATTTTTCTAGAAAAATGTGTAGTTCTTAGTAATTACAATGTACATATACTGTACGTAATATTAAATGTGAATAAAGAATTTTGTAATTGAATTATTATTATTTTTAATTCTAAGAAATTTTTCGATATTTTTAAATAGCTTACTTTTCAAATTATATATTAACAGAGAATTGCATGCAGTCTACTATATTAAGATAAATTGTTTATGTTTACTACATGATTGTGTGAATCAGTTAATAATTACTTCTGCATTAAATTCTTCGGACAATTCCTTTTCAATGGGTAGCAATATGTATGATTCAAGATTCTTCTCAAAGAGCGAATTTCTTAACCTAATGTGATCATTAGCTTTGAAAATGTCCTCTCACATTGGACTTGAGTAATTGACAAAGGACGCATGACTTTATAAAGTACTTATTCCTTTTTATCACTAAAACGGTTGCCTGTGTTTGTTGCCTTATTGCATTTTTACTTGATATATGGGGCCAGATCCATCAGGGGCGAACTCCATCAGGACCCCCACTTGTTACTGGGCAAAATGACACCACGGCAAATCCGACAGTGATCATTAATATTGGTTTTGCTGATTATTAATTGTCTTAGATTTCTATTAGATTATGTTTTGCGGGCTTCTTAATAATTTCCCCTCGAATAAATGGTCAGGTAAACATGTCTTTTGTTGATCGACCTTCACTGTAATACAAAAAATTAACTGACTATATAAAAAGTGAAAATTAGATGTTACTTTTGACTCAGCATGTATATTAAGATGTGAATACAATATGGATAATGGGTTTACGTAGAATATAAAAAGAATATAAATCATGTAAAGATAAAATACATCATGTAAAGATAAAATACATTATGTAAATTAGGTTGGCATTTATATTGACTCCGAAGAGGTGCCGACTCTGGTAAGCTAAAGTGAGTACCTCTTCGGAGATCATGCTTAAAAAACTGAGCATATTTGAGATAGTCATCCTGAAGGGTGCTGAATCCCATCATATTCTGTACGATGTTAGTTCGTCGCAGGTTTTTTTTAAAAACACTGTTTTTTTCGTCTATCAGCCTGCGCATCCGGGAAAGATTAATAAAGAAAATATGTCCCGTGGTAGGATACGAACCCGTGTCCATCTTTGTACGAAAAACCACCGTCTGATTCGGCGCTGTTTAGACCAATTAAAAAATAACGTTAAAAATTTTAATGCTGTTAAACGTTCTCCGCAAATTTTGTTTTTGTGTGTTTTTTTTGTGTGTGTGTATATATATATATATATATATATATATATATATATATATATATATATATATATATATATATATATATATATATATATATATATATATATATATATATATATATATATATATATATATTACTTCAAAGAATATCATAATGCGTTCTCCGTCAGGGATCTAATGCATTTTTTCTACTAAGATTTCTCGAATGCTCAGGTTTATAGACATAATACACACTATCTAATAAATAAAAAGAGCCGTCTATTTCAAATGTGGAGTATCCACTATAATAGCGTTTGAAATAATATGTCGTATTAAAGGAAATCAATTGAATCATGATGAGAGAGGTTTTAAAAATCGTAATTTTCTGACACGTCTGTGTCCTTTCTGAAGGAGACGAAAAAAATTAAAAACTGAACTATGACTTTCTTTTCCAGAGAAATATTTTTCGCATCTTATGATACCGAAGATGATCTGAAAACTATCAGACATCATCGCTAATTTAGCACAAGCAAAAAAACAAAAACAACTACAAATTCCCTGAAAAGTAAGACTCAACTAATTTTTTACCAAAAAACATTAGTTTTATTATCAATATTATCATTTTTCACTATTTACATTATTCGGATTATTGTCCTCATCTTTGTTGCCCTATTTACCACAACGTTTTGGCCGTTTTACGCTTCGGCCTTCTTCAGGTGGTTGGAATGTCGAACTGAATCCTTTATTACGCTCGCTGGAGTAGACTGTTCTAGTTCCACGTGTCAGTTATCAGTTATCGCCTGTTAATTCACCTCTCCAAGTTCTCTACTGCATTAACCAGGTTTTGAACTCACACTGTCACTGGATCTAACCAACGCATTTATCCGCTGTGCCATGTGTCCTTAAGGACATCGTTGCATGGATTTTTGCAACTTATAAACTTAATTTCTTAATAAATCATTTTTTACCAATGCTCATATTGCAATTTTTACTGTTATCATTGCATTTTTTTTACCAGAGCTCATATTCACCTGAAGAAGGCCGGAGCGTACAACGGCCGAAACGTTGTGATAAATATGGCAACAAAGATGAGGACGATAGTCCGAATAATGTAAATAATGTACATAATACCTCATCTCAGAAATATAGACACATTATTATTTTTTGTTGTTTTTTTATCTCTCGAATTTCTTTCACCGGCTTACATACATACCATAAAAATGCTTATATTTCAGTAGCAGAGTTTCATTAAAACAGGTTCCGTTGAATAATTCTTTTGACATATTCTGTCTACCTATTCTTAATGGGATCCTTTCATATTCACGGATAAGCTTTTTTGTGTGATTATTGGAAGATGAGATGAAAACGCCGTGTTGATCGATATTATAATTTATTATCCAAGTACTTTCGACATAGCATAATGTCATTATCAGGGTATTATTTAGTGTAAATTTTGCAGTGTTCAAGGTTGTGAAGGACGAAGATTGTTGTGAACAACTGAAAATTAAATTTCTTAAATGTGGAGCCAGGAATTCTGTGTTATGGCATCTTTAGCGGACACAGTGTAAGGGGAGGTAACTAGGCATGTTGTGGTAGGATTTTTGCAAAATGATTAGTGAAAAAATAAAGGAAAGAAACAATTAGTAGAAAACCGTGTCGTTTAGAGTTATCTACTGTACACATCTTAAAATGTTTGCGGAGTATTTATAGTTGATTTCATTAAGGTTTGGTTTCAATTTTTTTTTATATAAAAAGCTTAAAAGATTTTTAGCTTGTGTCTATTCTTTTCATGGAAATGTATGGCGGTGTTTTCAATGAGGATTTTCCTGAATTGCGAATGTGGACAGGTATGTAGTAAATGTTTAGAGATGTTGGATGTGTTATCCAAGTGCAGACTCGCCACTGTGGGAAAAAATATGTGGATAATCTTTCTTTACTATTATATATATAAGAGAATATATATATATATATATATATATATATATATATAAAGTTTCATTAAAAACGACCGACACTGGTACTGTGGCGAAAATTTTATTTAATTCTTTTCATGTGTTCTAATAATTTTCTTTTCTGGACATAAATTATATAAAATTGCCCAAATGTTTTATATGTCCGAGGGGTTTCGGCTATATATACACTCGGATATATGTCAAATTTGGACAGTTTATATAATTTAACTCCTGAAATGAAAAAAATATAAGAAGACATGAAAAATTATATAAAAAAACTAACCACAGTACTTTGTCAGTCATTTTTAATGAAGCTTCCATAAAAGAATGATTGCTGCCCAAATACACAATTATGAATATATATATATATATATATTTGAAACATGGTTAGAACTGTGTAGCGGAAAAAAACATATTTTAAATCAATTAATTTATAATATTAATGCTCTGTAAATTTACATCGAGCACTATTTTGTAAAAATAAAAATACCTATAAGAACACCGGATTATATATCTTACTGTTCTTTCTTTCTTTATATATATATATATATATATATATATATATATATATATATATGTGTGTGTGTGTGTGTGTGTGTGTGTGTGTGTGTGTGTGTGCGCGCATGCGTGCGTGAGTGTGTGTGTCTGTGAAAAAGAAGAAGTGAGAGAGACAGAGTAGAAGACAAACCCTTTAAAATGGAAGACTGTTTAAGTACAATTAAGTCCCTGACGATTTTTCTAACTAGATAACGTATTCCATGTGTGAATTTATTTCTCGCTGGAATTTACTCCATTTCCGATCTCATCGTTTTCCGATCCATAGTCAATCTATTGGATCCGTTGCCAGCAACAAAGTAAAACAAATTCCCACAAGCAAACGAACAACTTGTTCTCCATGAATTATCTATACCTCCACCCATACGACCAACAAATCCGATTGATGCCTCTTATCAACCCGCTTCTAATATCTGACATACTCTCAACGTAATCGCGTTTTTGTCTGTGCTCTCCATTCTACCCTAGGTATTCATATTGAACCGATTAAGTTTCGTGAAATTAGTCTTGAGGTTATTATATCCACTGCCCAATAGTCCAAGCGAATTCTCTAGGGTCCTTAAAGGAGGGAAGTGCATTACCGATGGCGAAGAGCTGTATTAACCCCATAAAAGTTAGAAAGATAGAATAATAACTTGATATCCAGTTCAAGCGAGAAGAGGTGGCGATAAATTTTCGTTTAAGCAGATTCGCTTCCTGGTACATAGGGCGTGGAAACTGATGATGATAAGAGATCACACCTGAACCATAAAGTTATCATCTGTGATTTAGATTTAGCTAATCTCTCAAAACGACACAAGGGACTCTATTATTGATATTTGGTGTAATAGCTATGGGCTCCTACAAAAAGACATACAGCCATATCACGTTGAAATACCGATTCCCGTATGATCCCCAAAGTTAAGCAACGTCGGGCCTGGTGAGTACCTAGATGGGTGACCACTTGCAAATGCAAGGTGGTGTAAACTTGGATGTGCGGGTGACGTAATGGATAGCGATTCGGAATGGTTTATCGGGGAGCTGAGTTCCAATTCCAGTCGGGTTCGTTATATTCGCTTACAAGCAAATACTCTTGGGAAAATTATGAATCCACCTCTTCTCCTCCAAGCTATGGGTCAATTAGTATGCTTTTTTTTATCAATAAATCATTATCGTTTCCAAAATAATTCATACAATCTAAAATATTTTCTGGCAATAAATAAACTTCAAATTGTCGATAAGCCCTAGAAAAGAGATCAACCCATTCTCCAAAAAGAGCACATGCTTCAATATAGTAAATACTAGCAGCATGGCCCGGCGTTGCCTGTGCTTGATTCAAAAATCGTACGACTCATACAGCAATCGCTATCACTTGACTTAAAATATTTTTGCCCTTCCTTGCCTTTAAAGGAGTGCCCTTTGCCGTGCTGATGTTGCTACACGCCTTACTTCTTGCCTATCTCACACTGTGAATTTTTTCTAAGCTCTATACTAAACATTAAATCGGTTACGAAAAAAGAACTAAACAAAATGAACACAAAACGATCAGCTTTAAAAAAAGGACTCGTAACTGGAAAAACCGAATGAAAAAGAATGTTAACAACACATACTTTTTCACACCCAAACCAGTTCTGCAGAATCAGAATCAACGTTGAGTTTAAGCAAGCGAATGAGCCAATTGGAGTAAAGTGCCATGCAGATTTAAATTTTTCCCACTTGTGACGAATGCAGCTATCGATTTTTTTTGCATGCAAGCATGTTAGTTAACGTTCGTGTCAGTCAGATGTTGGCTCTCACGCTGGCCAATAGAATCTTCCTGCCTATTTGTGGCAGCCAGTTATTGGCTCTCACTCTGGCCAGTAGAAAATGGCCGCAAACTACATGAAAACCGCCGTAGAAGCATGAAAAAATCGATTATTTCCACTATCGATGGGAGTTGGGAAATGCAAAGTCCGTCTTGGCCTTCCCGCTAACTTGGAGCATGTGCATGCAAATTTTGGTGCAAATCCATCGAAAATTGCGGCCGTGCATTCGTTACACACACACACACACACACACACACACACACACACACACACACACACACACACACACACACACACACATCCTGCCTTTTATAGATAGAGATACACGCTTTGCAAGTGATTTCTAATCCGACCAGATATTATAGCAATAAGCAAAATACATGCGCATCATAGAAAGAAATAATCCGTTATCCAAAACGATTGTCTGTAATTATTTTAAAAGATAGTATAACAAGTGTAATGAGAAATGTTTTTCAAAAGCAGAAAGGAAAGATCAAAAGACGAAAGGAAATTTCAAAAGCGAAAAGAAATATTTTTGGGGCTTTAAATTTAAAAAAAAATAAATACAGATTTTTAAGCAGAACTCAATCTTATAAAATACGTCTCAGTTGATTATTATATTTAGAAAGGATAAAATCAACGCATGATCAACATAAAGAATTAAACACCCAAAGGTGCTTTCAGCTGGCGTCATTGCATGTAACTGATTTGATAATGCATGCACATGATGGCGAAATAATCACGGCCAAAACCAATTTCCAAAATCTGAGCAAATAACAGAAGGGTTTTTCAGAAAACCATCTTCGTCAAGCCAAGAACATTTCATCACTCATCTCTGAATCTATCTACAGAGAAGAGCGCCAGAATATTCTCGAACCGACCCACTTCTCAGATCTAACTAAATAACAATAATAATAATATTAGCCGTTTCCTTTTAAGGAAACATTTGGCATTCATCGACCGAGCTGTCAAAAGTCAAAGCTTCTGCGCGCTGGGAAAAAAATGTAGATTATTTATAATATGACATGCTTGCTTTCCGTATATTTCTGGTTTCTCATGAATTTCTTCGACAGGTTTTCTTGTTCGTGAACGTTTTACCTCGATATACACGTATGTATGCAAATCTTTTAAAATATATCTATAAACTAAATAATTTTAGGTAATGTTTTTACCTCTATGCTATATTTATCATCAATTACATATATATACAAAATATATGTTATATATATATATACGTGCACAATATATATATATATATATATATATATATATATTTTGGTTGGATTGATGTTAGCTCTCTCTCTCTCTCTATATATATATATATATATATATATATATATATATATATATATAAACATTACACTACTTGCATCCATCCAATCGTATCTATACTTGAACGTCTCGGCTTGATATAATAATAAACAAGATCATCAGCCTGATTATTATTATTGAGCAGTGAATTCGATTCAAACCGGGTGAGATCTTTTTTTACCCTTGCACCAAACTAATTCATGGCTTAGCATACAGGAAGTGTATTCATGTAATCTGCAACATATTGCAGATTAGTCAAATAATAATAATGAGAAGACATTCATATTTTTTACATGTGTGTTTTACCACTCATATTTGAGATTCGACTGTAATACACCCAACAATGAGTTGCAGAGTGTCTTCTGATTGTTGGTAGATTCGTCCACCAAGCCATTGTGATAAGGTTCAGCTCGCACTTGTGATTTCATTATTGTAATTCTGTCAAACTAAATAAGCTTTAATCATAACTATACCAAAGTAAGTTGTAAAGCCAAAGTGTAACAGTAGAAATTCAATTTACAATTGCAGATCGAATCAAACAACAATGATCACGTGTAAACATAAGTTTTGGTTAAGAAATATTGACAAAATATATAGGCGAGGTCAAATAAGGACGATCAAAACAAACTTGGATGAAATATATCTCTATTCTTTGATGTGCCATGGTGATATTGACTCTTCAGGACTTCCTATCATTTATAGCTCTTATTAATGGTTGTTTTCCTTTTTTTTTTTTAACTATTCGTCTCTGTCCATGTTCTGCCATCCATTTACACAAGATCCTTACTGGATGCATTCCTATCTCCACCCTGCCATCAATATAGCATGTCCCTATCAAATTGTCAACGGCCTTTTTCCTCATGATGTGTCCTAGAAATTTCAACTCTCTGATTCTAAGTATGTGCCATTTCTGTTTTCTTTTACGTTAAACCTTCAGATTTCGCCCCCTCTCTCTCTTTCACTCTCTCTCTCTCTCTATATATATATTTATATATATATGCTGTGGTGTCCTTTCATTAAAGAGTCTATGTTGCACTCTTCCGTTTACTACTCATCCGACACACACTCACTAGTCGTGTAATACTCTTCTGTTGTACTTACTGTTTAATATATGATATAATTTGCAACACTTTTTTGTTATTTCTTTAACCTTTTACTTGGTTACCGCAATATATATATATATATATATATATATATATATATATATATATATATATATATAGTTTAGTTAATAAAACAAGGAAAAACGAAAGGGTACCAATAATATCAGTACGAAAAACATTTATTAAATATTAATTATTAACGATATGACAGAAATTAAGCACGGAGAGAAAAGTTTTATGTTCGGAATTTTCGGACACGCCTGTGTCCTTCATCAACAGACCGAGAAATAAACAGAGAAATGGGAATTACTCAACAACAGATGTTTCCGGAGATGGTGTATTTTCTGGTGGAAACCGTATTGTTAGTAAAAACCCGATCTCTCTCTGATAACTCGATGTGCGAAACCTTTTTTTTTGAAAATAAACTTAAATTTAAAATTTTGATTGATTCTCGGATTGAGAAATCGGAGAACCGAGTTGAGATTTATTACACTTAGAAAGGTATGAATCCTCTTCTTCTACTCCTAGCTATAGGTAAATAGCAGGGAATACTAGATTCTATAGTCTTTGATGGCAACTGGTCTACCGCAGAAAGATATGGTCACATCCTGCGGGAAAAAAAAATCTGCTTCGTCAGTAATGTATCGAAAGATACATGATCGCCTAAGCGTGTATCACGCATGGCACATAACTGATCTGATTATTACTAGTGTGTATCGTGTGGGGAATGAGATTGTAAATGAAGAGAGTTATAGGTTGGGGAGGGAGAACGATGTCTCGCGTGTAACAAGTTGTAGTAAAAATTGTCGGACCACGTTGTTAAGTTTAGAAATATGGACTCTGGTTAGAATATGATATGATGATAAAAATAAGGAGGATAAAATGGAATATATAATAATAACATATTCTTAAATAAAATGAAATGAAAAAGATGAAGGAAGTAAAAAACGGATAAAAATTTGGATAAGAATTTGGAAATCTATTGTTAATAAAAAAAAAGGAGGTACAGAAAATAAAATAAAACTAAATGAAAAACTGAGAGAAAAAGCGTATATATATATAGATACACATGCATACATAAGTGCACATAACAGTGAGTAAATATACACAAGACACCACACAAGCATATGTATCTCAATACACGTAATACAAGATTAATATGTATCTACACTAATCGTCCACACTCCTTACATAATCTTATATGTAAAGGAGCCATAATGATAGAATCAATGATGGTTTTAAAGAGGGTGACTGGAAAGTAGTCCTCAGTGTACAGGGCAATACTTGCATTACTAAATAGTGTGTCATGAGGTAAATCGTGGATGGTAGAAAATATAAATATTGTAGGTAGGTGATGGCTTTTAAAATGTGGGTGGAGGGCTTAATTATGCCAGGAGGGGGTATTGCTGATAATGGGTTTCCTGCAAGAAATTAGGATGAACAACACCCAGACCCGATTACGGATATAGGACCTGCAACAATTTTATGGGACTTTACAATGCACACAGACAAAACAACCAAAACTAATCATCCAAGCATCGTTATTAGAGACCAGAAAGACAAAATGTGCCTCCTTATTGGCATGACAGTCTCTGCAGACTGTAATGTATCTTTGCAAATCTTTGAAAACTATCAAAATACAAGTCTATTGAAATAGAAATCATAAATACATGAGGACATCAATAATTCCAGTTGTAGTTAGAGCCCTGGACTAATTGGAAAAGATTCCAATAGCCTAATTTAAAGGGTTCATGGTAGCCAATGTCTAAAAGAAATTAAAAAAAAATGTTCTCACAAGTACAGCCTACACCTTACGATGTGCTTTATCTATGTAAAATATGTGTGATTGTTTTTCAAAACTGCTTAGTGGAAAATGTCATGATGCCATTTCTGATCATAAGTCTCAGTCCAGGACTCGGAAAGAAATCAAAGGAAATAATAATAATAATAATAATAAATTTCCTTAAATCTGTATAGAGATACAATATATATTATGGGATATAATTCTCAATATCTTTCATTTTTAAGAGAAATGGAATATAATATTGAAAAATAAGTACAATAAATAACCGTAAACAAGTTGCTTGGCGAAAAAATGCTGAATGTTTCCTTATAAGGAAACAGTTAATATCACCATTACCAATAATTTATTCAAATAACTTTATAAATTTTTTTTAAGCATTTCACGCTCAAGCAAGGCGAGAGTGCTGCTAGCACGCAAGGAATTAGAGAGTGGGAGCAAGTGTAAAGAGGTGTGATAGAGGAAAGGATGAAGCTAAGCACTGGGAATTAGATCAAGGCATCTGGAGATGTCGATTGATATTGCATTTGAATATTTCGGGATTATAGCTATCATGGAAGCAATTAAGAGGAAGGGCGTTCAACAGGCGGGAAATGCGAGACATGAAGCTATTGGAGTAGAAGAGACGGCTACATTTAACAGTTTCGAAAATGAAAGGATGGAACTGAGATGCCAAGTTAGTAGCACGTTTAAATTCATGCAGTTTGGGAACCAGCGAAAGTAGCTCGTCGGTGCTGTTACCGTAAAATTACCTGTAGAAAAGACAGAGGGAAGTGACGGCACGTCTATGAGAGTGCGACTGTAGACCAGATGCCAGATCAGGACCAATCACCTTGCATATCCATCTCTGGATTTTGTCAATGACTTTGAGACGAACAGCGGGGACTCCCAAACGTATATGGCAGCAGTATTCCATGCAAAGGTGAATGGTTGATTTATAGATTTCAGGGATGGACTCATACGAGAAAGAATATTCTGGCATAGAACCAACTTTCCTTGCGGTAAGTGAAGCTAGTGATTCAATGTATTTGTTCCATAGCAGGAATTTATACCGATTATGATTATTTTTAATCTGTTTCTTTCATTTAACTCTATCTTTTCCTGCCATTATCATAACCATTATTTCGGTTTTCATGTCGTATCGAATGACTTTCGCAGGGAATCAAGTGGCAGTGATTCTGTTCAACACTAAACATAGAGTCACGTGTGTTATTCACATTAGTTGTTGCTGTTGATCTGATTTCTGTTATTTGCTACAGTTCTTTTTGTTTTACGATTATGTAGCACCAGTCCACGAGATTCGAAGAAAAATGATCACCGCAACAAACTTCATTCCCTCAAAGTCAAATTTAACCATCGATATGTGGAACCAGTTTTACAGTTTTAGTTGGCTGATAGTTTACATGTTTCCTGCTCGTCATGGGTATGACGATAAACTACTGTTTAATTTCTGTTCCAATATCCACCCTGACCTGAAGCGGTAGCACCTGTAAGTGCCCCAGCTATGGGAAAATAGTGACCAACAAAACTGGAGTCAAAACACGAAAATATAAAAATACATTAGAAACAACTACCAGAAATATATCTTTTATAGTAAAAGAAATACGTTTTTAGGAAAAAAAATAACAAAGCAAATTGAATAAAATTTCGAAATTAAATGGCCCATAATGAAGTTGATATGCCGTTAAGCTAAGCAAAGTTTTTAGTGGCTATAGGGCACTATATTCTGTTAGCGATCAAAGAGGAAACGTTTAGAATTATTATGGGCAGACGCAAAGAGCAGTCTGTTGCGATCAGAACTATCACGATGGAAAAGTGTTTCCCGCAGCTGGACAGGCAGGTGTGAACCAAGGAGAAGATTGTGGCTTCACCTAGTATTTCCGAGATGGCATAAAAAGAATCGATGCTGTTTTGTTACCTAAGAAGAAACCTCAATAGTACAATACTCAATAGTAAATTTTAAAATTTCACTCCAATCACGAAATGAATCTCAATCGATACACTGTTATCAGAAATTAGTATAGATTTCATGTTTAATGAATGAGTCAAATGAAATCTCAACAGATACTATAACGTAATCCTAGAGGAATACTGAAATGTCAAAAATTGACTACTTTGGTTTCTGTTTGTACAGGCTGCGATGTGTAAAATGTCGCCATTTTATATTTTTAATTTCGCACATGCGCATTGTTTCTGATTTTGTTCACTGCGCAGTAGGGTCAGTTGGATACCGTCTGTGAAAAAAAAAAAAAAAAGAAAGAAAAAAGATGCATGACGAAATTCTGTCCGTCAAAAATTTGGAAACGACATGCTGTACTGTTTGGCATTCGCACCGGAAGCTCCAATACGAACATTTCGGAATATTTAGGTGTCAATCTGAGGACAGTGCAGAGGATTCGGAAAGAGTTGGACGAGTCTAATTGTGATTACGAACGTGTTTGGAGTGATCACTAGTGATAGCGACATTATGCATACATTCATCTTCCCACAGGGCCTCAGATTCGACATGAAGGTCTACATCAATTGCCTTCAGTAGTTATTGCTGCCTTTGGTCAAGATGGTGGTATCTGGAAACCATATGTCTAGCAAAATGATTCTGCATCATGCCACACAAGCAGGAGAACCCAATCATGACTCTCAGACAATTTCTGCGACAGCATCACCCCTTCCATCTAGCCATATACCTCCCCAGACTGCAAACAATTTGAGTATTATGTGTAGAACACAGTTGATCGAGAGACCAACAAAACTCCTTGTAATACCAAAGATGAACTGAAGGCAAGGATATTATAGCAGCATTCATCAACTTAAATAAGGAGACTGTTCAGAAGAGTTGAAGCCAATGACGATTTTATTGAATAAATTTACTCTTTAGTATTTCAAGATATTTTTGAATATATCTGTTAAAAGGAGATGTCAGTGTTATTTTTATTTTTGAGTAATTTAGACGATAATTTATACTTCGCACCCTGTAAGTTTTAATTTTGGTAGCCTGTGGTCTTGCATATAGAAGTTATACATTTTAATCGTTAAAATTAGCAAGATTAACATTTAATATTAAACGCTGACTGGTTTCTCTCGTATTTTTATTCACTTATTTCTTTATTTACATTTAGACTAATGGCTTCATTATCAGACGTTATACTCTCCGGTGTTTTTCAAGTGTCTTGTCTGTCGATCCTTTTTTGGAATTTTGAAGTGAGCCCTTTATTTAATCTATGAGGCTAGATTTTTCTCGTCCTGTTTCCAGTGAATCTAATTTGTTCTATCCAGCCCAGAGATTGAACTCAAAATTATTATGCTGCCAAATTCACAATTCAATCCACTAGCCCAGTGAGATAATCAACTGCGGTAGATTAAATAATAGATTCAGTTCGAAATTCCCGGAAAGGTATCCGTTTCAAGAGACACCTGAAGAAGGCCGGAGACCATAAAATAGGTGAGGACGTTTGTTCGACTGTAAATAATAAGAACTCCTCATCTCAAAACTTCAGACAGAAATTATTTATTTCTTCGTGCTCGAATTTATTTTATTTCCTTTTTTCCTACAGTTTGTTCATTTTCATTTTTTACTTCTCACTTTTCTTTTCATTGTATTTATATTCATTTTCGCTCTGTTTTTTCTTTCTTCATTTTCTTACTTTCTCCACTGACTTTCTTTCTTTTTTCACTTTCTTTCTTTCTTTTTTCTTTTTTTACTTTTCTATTTCTTTTCTTTATAAATTTGAATGTTTACACGATTCTTTTTCCTTTTGGAGTGTTTCTATGTTTTCCATTCTTTCTTTCTTTCTTTCTTTCTTTCTTTCTTTCTTTCTTTCTTTCTTTCTTTTTAATCACCATTTTTAATTCTTTGCTGTCTTCGTCTCCCATTTCTTTCTTGTTTTTCTTTCTTACACTTTTTTCTCCTTTTCTTCTCCTTTCTTTACTGTCTTCTTCGCTCTGTTTCTTCATTTCCTTTTCTCTTTACGACATTTTTCCTCGTTTCCTTTTTCCTATTTAATTTCGTTCATTTTCTTCTCTTCTTTTGAAGTAGTCTGAAAACATGCAGATGTGAAGATGTTACGGACCGTTAAAATAAGTGATGAAAAGGAATTGAAAAGAGCAAGAAAAGAATGGAAAACGAAACAAGCAGTAGATAAAGAGAGTAATATATAGAAAGAAAGAAAGAAAGAAAGAAAGAAAGAAAGAGAGTGAGAGTAAGCGTTCAGCTTCGCGCCATTATCAGGGCAGCGCGCGAAAATTCGATGCCCTTTGGCGGCGGGACGCCACTGACTGTCATTGCGTGGGTCAGAAACGAGGAGTGGCGATGATGGCTACCAAACTAATCAAGCGGTGAACAGAATGGCTACTTTGCAACTCGATTCCCGGTTGGCCCGCGGCGGATTTCTACTTTGGAACCGCAGTAATGTGTTCTTTGTTTCACTTTCGCTTTGCTTGTTTGATATGTATTTCAGTGTTTTGCCTTAGGTAGCTCAGAGCCAAAGACTTCATGGAGAGATGAAAGAGGAAGGAAGCGTGTGTTGGGGGAGGTGTTTGGAAACGAGGAGGAGGAGCCGATGAAGAAGTCAGGTGAAAAGAAGACGGAATTCTCAAGTGGGAAGAAAAAAGAGGAACGAGTTCGGCTGCAAATGTATGAAGACATTCTGGAGAAAAGGAGGAAGAGGAGGAGATCGACAAAAACAGAGAATAAAAACAAGATCAAAGGAAAACGTTAAAGACATATATGCTAGGGAGATTAAAAAAGTGAAATCAAATAGACGAAAAGAAAGAAAGCAAGGAATACTAGATAAAACAGATACTATAGAAAGGAAAAGACATCAAAAAGAAGAAGTACAACAAAGTAAGTAAGGAAAACGATATATATGGTATCAATAAGAAGTTCTCCTTTCATGTGGTATGTCGTTTCAGGACGTGGACGATCATGGCTCCCCACGATTTCCTATCATTTGTAACTCTAAGCAATATTTGTCACCTTTGTATTTCTTCTTGTCCCTGTTCAGCTATCCATTTAGGTACGTTACTTATTGTTTACCTCTGACCTTCTTGCCTTCACGTTGTACTTTGGGCGTCAAATTTTACAAGTCTACCTTCCACTTTCTAAGTACAAATGTCTTTTGTGTTTCCATTTCCCTTAAACCTTTCTCGTTATTTTAATATTCAGTCCATGATATTCTCAGTATCCGTCTGTATAACCGCATCTCTTCCCCCTCACAATTTATTTCATTATTTGTAAAGAAAAAGTGTTCAGTATTCATTATCATATAAGAAGATATGATATTACATCTCAGTTCATCAATTTGTTTTTGTTTCTAATGAAACTCTCCTTTATATTAATATTTGAATTTACCTTTTTAGAACTTGTTGTTGTTGTTGTTGTTGCCGCGTCCACTGTCTTTTGTCACTCTTAAAACTCTTGTTTTTTTTCCATCTCCCCCAAACCCTGCACCCCCCCCCCATTCACTGAAGTTCGCAAGGTAGGTTCCCTTTCTTTATTATGTGCATCAGAAATTGTCTCTCTCTGGGAAGTGTCAGAGTTGAAAAGGTCTGGTGAAAAGACTCATCCTTGTCTTTTTATTTTTGTATACAAGCGGTTTGCTGCCAATATAGGTTCGGGATTATTCTAGAATCCTCCCCACATATTTTAAGGTTACCTAGCAGTTCTTTGTGACGTACTTTATCAAATTCTTTTGTATAATCTATAAAACATAGATGTATATCCTTTTGCATTTGCATTGGTTTTTCTGACATTATTCGTAGCATAAATGTAACATTCCTTGTTTCAATGTTTTTTTTTTACGAACCGACACTGTTCTTGTCAAGATTCAGGTGATAAATTTTGTTACATCGCTCACCAGACTCATTGTCCGATGAAGTTCCCATATGTTTTACCTTGCTTCTTAGTCAGGACTATGAAAATGGATCTACTTAGGTCTTCCGATATATCGCCACTGTTGTATATTTCATTTATTATTTCTGTAATCTTGTCAATCCCGAAATCGTATAAGGTTGCTAGAATCCATATTGAACACTTGTAAGACAGGAGATAATAGTTGATTGTGAGTAGAATACTTGTGACTTGGCTGGAGTCTTCTATCGCTTTTTCTTATTAAAGTATTTCGTAATGAAATCGGTTCTTTATTTTTAATAACCTTGTATTAGCGTTAGTGCCATGATCTAAACTTATAATGAAATGTAAAATATATGCTATCTGTGTATTTATATTTACAATAATTTTAATTGCATTCATACCAAAAAAAAAAAAAAAAAAGCTTTCGTCGTATAGAGGAAACCATAGATGTAACAGTAAACGAAGAAAAACGCACTGACATAAGCTTAATACTCACGGATCGCTGAATGATTCTGTTGTTATACAGATCGCAGCAGAAATAGCCTATATCTAGTGGACTCATTCACGCAACGTTTTTCGGAGTCAATCCCTGTCCAAACATTTGTTACATTCTGACCAGATTTTAATGAAGACAAATACCAGATTTTCGATAACGTTTCTCATTGTTGAACTTGGACTAATGTCTTACTTTAATTTTGTTGTGTGTTTCTTTTTCATGTGTAATGTTAAAATATTTATCTACTGAAAGCCTCTTTAATGTTAATATTTGCTAACAATAATTTAGGCTACAAAAAGAAAAACGTATCGGAACTAATGGAGTACATCGAATGAGTAGGCCAGGCGTACGATAGGAGACCGGATTAATAGTAATTTCTAACGAATAACGCAGGGCTTCGATAGATAACAGGAAGAAAAATATTCTTTACTCTGAGTTTCACCCCCATACAAGGCCTGGGAGCCACTCGAGGTAGATTATTACGGAGTAAAAGGCAATTTTATGCGGATAGGAGGTGAAGATAACGGTTAACCCTAGAACTGCACAGATTAAGATTCTAGTGATTGGGGAAACGCTCTTTTGGGAATCGGTTCTACAGAGCAGTGGTTCGCAGGAAGAAGCGGCTCGAATGGATTGAGAGTGGTTTTTTACAATGTGATTGGCATGGTGGGTCCCAGCCATGAAGTTTAGAACTGGTAGAACCAAGGAAGAGATTTGCCACATTTCGTCTGTGAGAGTGGGTTTTGGAAGATGGAAAATAATTTGTCACTGACAAGGACTCGGAGACGCTTTGACCTCTATCGAGAATGGAAAGTAACAAAAGTGCTCTATTTTAGGACTGACCTGGTTCTTGTAAACTAAAGGTAGAGAATAGCACAAGGAGTCAGATATTTACTGGAGCAGTACAGGGAATCGGCCATTTTCCCTGCATTTATAACGATGGATCGTATGTATGGGTTTCATTTTATGTCAGGAGTGAGTTGAAGGACTAATAGTCTTTGAAGACACGGACTCTCACCGAGGTGATATTCATTCATCGTGACTGGTGATGGTTCGGAATCCGATCGGTGATCTAGTTTGGTTTATGAGGCATTGAATGCAACAAGCCAGTTTTTCCGCCACTGAAATGTTAGAACTAGAACGAAGGGGAAATTAACTGGTCATCATGAATTATGGAGGTGCACCCATATATCGTTGTATCATTGCCATAGATATTCACAAATGATTTGAATATACTTTTAGGCACGCCATTTATGTAAAGTAAAAAGAAGGTTTGTCCGAGAAGTGACTCCTTGCGTTGATTACTAGCTCCCTGGAGAATTGGCTGTTAACAACTACCTTCAGGTTAGGTAGGAAGGAATTTCGAACAAGTAACACAGGTCTTAGATAGGAGACAGAAATAATAATGATTTCTAACGAGCACCGCAGGGCTTCGACAGAAGAGAGTAATAATTATTATTTGTATCCAATCAGGTAATTATTAAAAAAAAATTATAAGCTTTTACATTGCAACCTGCCTGCCTGTGTTTATATTGTTAGGAATCCGGCTTTTTTTATTCATACATGAAGCGTTAGGGAATTATTTCATCGAAATACTTGAAGTATTCATAAACATTTTGAAAGTGTTTATTTTAAAAGTTTAAGCCCAAAGATGGATCATATTAGCAGAACAATTATGAATTTTGAATCGGGCGGAATTAGAATAATTTCTAGTAAACCTGCAACTTAAGTGAGATATTTTCGATTGGTGCCTATTTTCGAATTTAGCAAAAATCTATGAAATAAGATATATGACAAAATACCTCCGCAATTGAAAAAATGTGCCTATCTTGTGCCAAAGCTGGAAAACTTTTAAATAGATTTAAAACATGCATTTACATCGACCCAAATTTCAGACCGTTGACGCCAACACGTGGCGCGCTATTATGAAGAGGAAGCGACACCTTCGTCTTATCTATCTGAGGTCTAATTAGAAAACAAACCCCATACGTGTTGAGAGCGATGCCTTTTATTCCTGCAGTTGCGTAACAATTTTTTGCTGTAATCTAGAACGGAAATAATTTTTGGTAAATATCCCTTATAATGCATGCCTCGGTATTTCGCCAGTGGGCGTAAAAAATATTTTCCATGTAAACTATTTCTGCAGTAATTTTAAAGAAAATGCTGCGTAAAATCCATGTTTGTCCAAATATATTTTGCAGTTGTTTATATGTATTTTTTATAAATCATTTCACCCAGGCAATGCAATAAAGCCACTAAGACGCAAGGGAATAGTGAAGTAGAATATGAGGAAAACACCATTAAAAAGGACGAATAATAGAAGAATAGGAAATAAGAAAACATTGCATTTAAATTTTTGAAGATCTAAATTGACTGGAAATCAAGAAACCGGAAGAGAGTTCCACAAGTGAGAAGTGAGAGAGAAGAAACTGTTAGAATAGAATTTAACGTTGCAATTAGCAAATGAGATTGATTGATTTGTTTGTTTGACTTCATGTCAATTTCTTATGGGTGATTTAATGCCGGAATTTAATTTTCTTAGGGGTTTTCAAACAATAAAAATGTGATATGATATTCTGCTTTCACGACAGAATAGATAATCCGCTTTTGTGTGGATATGATTACCAATGTGGGTTTTATGTTGTAGTCTTGTTGAAGTTATATTTTGAAATACAGTTTGATTTAAGAAATTATAAGATATTTTATGGATTAATCATATGAAAGATTTATTTTCTATTGGTTGATATTATTTATCGGCATAACAAACCCTATCGGATATTATTGACGGAATATAAATATTTTAATCAGAAAATGTATTGTTGGTAATTCTACTCTAAATATATATTGTTGGTAAGTTTTTTTTATATAAACATGTATTGCTGGTATTTTTATTATAAAATGTATTGCAGGTATTTTTATTATAAAAGTGTATTGCTGGTATTTTTACTTTAAAATGCGTTGCTGGTATTTTTACTATAAAATGCATTGCTGGTATTTTTACTATAAAAGTGTATTGCTGGTATTTTTACTATAAAAATGTATTGCTGGTATTTTTACTATAAAAGTTTATTGCTGGTATTTTACTATAAAAATGTATTGCCGGTATTTTTAGTATAAAAGTTTATTGCAGGTATTTTACTATAAAAATGTATTGCTGGTATTTTTACTATAAAAATGTATTGCTGGTATTTTTACTATAAAAGTGTATTACTGTTATTTTTACTATAAAAATGTATTGCTGGTATTTTTACTATAAAAGTGTATTGCTGGTATTTTAACTATAAAAATGTATTGCTCG